GGAAACATAATTTTCCAAGCATCTTATCGTAAAGACCTTTACAAGGCTATTGTACTATCGGTAGCTTTGAATTAAACAAATTATTTTTCATCATGTATAAGTTGATTATATAGATTACTAGCAATATGAAATTGTTCTCCTCTTTCCTTTTGTAACGTGGCCACTAAAACTTGATAATGCATCAAAATCATAAAAAAAACCATGGATTGATTTCTACTCAATACAGTGTTTTATGAATTTTAAGGACAGCACCATTTAAAAAAATACATCAAGCCAAAATTAACTGCAGTCGTTTTCGCTGCTCTAGGGGACAACCAGACGCAAAATGCTACAGAATGTACTATTTTTAAAAGGATAAAATTAAGTGTTCGCTAGCGGAGAAGTTAATTAACATTGCATAGTACAGCCGCAGGAGGTGATTACTGGCTTATGTTTATTTGAAGGTAGTGGCATTGGTCAGCTAATTTACCGCTGTGACGTGAGCTTGGAAAGAGATTACTATTGTTCGACTCTTTCTGCCTCCTCACAATTGCATGACTGATGATGTAGTCTAGAAATAAGCCCTTTCCAACAACAAAGTTATTGAAATAGGCATTATATGATAAGCAGAGTATAATCTGCTGTAAATGCTGCATCGGTTGTTTTGCCCTTCAAACTCATAAACAAAATATTTTCTTACCATAACGCAGACATAGATGTGTGCAAACAACAATAATAAAAGGTCTCGTGAGAGAGGGCCAAAAGTAGACGTGTAATTGCCTGCAAAGGGCGGGCTCTGAGTCGTGTGCAGCTGATTGACCTCAGAGCTGACGTCTCATTGTTCACACAAGCTCATGCCAGCACACAGCACTGGTCAATGCATATTACCCGCATATAATTTGCATCTCTCTATGGCGTGGTAATGGAAATCAAGCAGACCAGCGATCACGCCTCAGGGCCGAAGCACGTATTTCTCTGGTGGGTATGCTGTTATGCTAGAGTCATTCGATTACCCAAAGCAGTCGATGAAAGATCTCTCATTGACAAAAATACAAACATTGTATGAGAGGGGGAGAAATGGTGCCAAATCATTGGGACGAAGTACAGTAGGAATAGCAGTAACAATAATGATAATCTGAAATGCGTTTTTTATCAGTTAAATTATTCCGCATCGGCAATGTTGGAACTCACGGGTATGGTTAAAATCGGATACGCTAAGTCCATCGGGTATTTTTAACAGCTATTATACTTGTTAATGCAACGCAAAACGCATGAAAGTAATTCTCTAAGATAGACAATGATCTCAACTTATTTATAAGTGGACTCAGCAGATAAGGACAGTTTAGACTCAACTGAAAATACAATTGTCACCGGAACAAACGGTTTGATCAGGTGGAAGGCATGACAGTATTGCCATTTTGATACCACGTAGCGGTCAGTTGTGAAAACATGCAACTAATTGTTGGCGATAATTGCTTTTAATTTATTATACTTGCATTTAAAATGAGTTACCATATGAGAAAGAAGAAGTCAAAGGATGATTTCATCCTTCTTCACAGACTGCTGATCAATTGCAAATAAGCTAATTTGGCCTCTATATTGCTGAGCTTATAAATGAAATGAAAGTTTTTTTAAGTAGCTTCTTTTGGACTATTAATCAAGAGTTTCCAATGAATTGAATCATTCGTTAATTTGTAAAACGTGTTTTAAGAAGCATACCATGATATCAGAAAGAAGGCTTAAACATAACGTACGAGTGACTTTACTTCCTCTCCTGATAAACCCAGCGATACGAAATGTAGACCCAAAAAATAAATCCATTCATCACTTATACATAGATGACTTTGAGGCTTTATTTAGGAATACCAATCATTCAATGGGATGATTATTTGTCAAAGCAACAGTTGGAGTTGTTGCATAAGGAGCTTGAATAAGGGCCAATTAATGAAAAAGATCGGCACAGCGTGGTACCTTGTGACATAATATTCTTGTTTTCACAGCTTCCAGTTCAAAGGGAAGATCAACATCTAACGATATAAGATTTACTTAGGAATATGGGAAGTTTCTGCAGTTCTACATGTGGAATGATTTAGACAGACATATGCTAGACATAAATGTCAATATAAACCTTGTTGGGGAATAATTTAGGCAGCATCATGCCACCGTAGTACGTGACTTGTTTGTTTAACTCCCTGTTTTGGTAACAGGGCGCTCAGGGGCTCCGTCTGGCCTCCGCGCTATACCAGTAGCACTTGACCCTACTGTATGCCAACAATACATATTCAGCCTGAGTAGTATGTCTTCTTCCGTCTTGGGACGCTACACTACAGGCCTTATAATGTCTAAGCTTTCTAGGATAAAGTCCACTACGGCTATGATGAGAATATGTTACGTGAATTGAACGATTTTGATTTATGCAACAACACATGCAAGGGATTTTCACCGCTTCGCTAAAATTATGGTCTCAATTAAAGTTGAAGACCAAAAGTAATAATCGTTTTAACTGGACAGGAACCAACATAACTGCACTTATATCTGTCCCGAATTATTAATCAGAAACCGCTTAAACAAACAAATCCCTCATTTTCTTGGTACCAGCGATTTCAAAAAAGGAAAATAAAACCAAAATATCATCACAAGCTACAAACGTGTTAGAGGGTTTTTATTTTTTCTTGATGAAAAACTGAGTGGAAGAAAATGATGGAACATAAAGAACCGTCTAAGTGAATTCAGACCTTCTGATAAAGGTTAAATCATTCGTTTCAGTGAAGGCATATTAATATTGCAGCTATTTTCAAACTAAGTGATGCTTTGGAGCGTTCAGGAGTAAACATTAGCAAAACTAATTTGGAAAAGTGTGATGGAGACAGTTCGGTGGGTCATCGCCTTCACCCACACAAATTTCAAGGTCGAACATGCTCTTCTACACGAATCACGAAATACAACTAAACTTAAAAATAGCTTTCCACACCGAGGTAAACTTAAATTAGTATGAAACTCCTTTGAAAACTTTCCCATTTTTAAATAATTTGGTAGCTAATGGTACCTCATCACGAAATGCGACTCCCCACATTCTACAATTAAAGCTAAATAAGCAGTAAAATAAAATTACAGCATAATTCACAGAAATTTGAGGCACATGTACAATGTAGAAATGACTTAGTTTCGGACCCAGTACACTTAATGCATCATTGATAGATGTAACATGAAGTTCATTGTTTTGTGAAGGTACCACTAGCAAAGTTAATCTATCAGTAATTTAGCTACTTAACCACCAGTTTTCTTTATCTCGATTTTATGTACTTAAAACTTACTGGTTCCAAAAAATTTAAGAGAACTCCACAACTTTAATTTTGCAGCACTTCACATTCATTCCTTGGGAAACGCCGACCCCGTTCACGAAGCATTTCATACAAATCGCAAATAAACTAAATCATTGCAACCAAATGCTCGAAACCACAACAAAGGTATTTTTTAGTCGACAAATTCCTGCATTTTAATGTGCTTCTAACACAGCTTGGTGGCTTCAGCCTATCAACTATCCTTCTGCATATCTATGCAGGAATCATATTTTCCTTCTTGAACTTACAAAGAAATTGAGTTCCAATAAAAAAGACAGTCCAAACATCCTAATGTAACGCATTTAAGGAGATCATGGTCGACAATGATTTTGCTTCTAATCAAAACCTCCCGGGTTCACCACCACTGTGTTAATGTGGCCCAATGTAGAGGTTAATTTGAAGAAACCGCTACACAAAGGCGGAATATTATAGGCCGAAATGCTGTTTGGCGCATGAGAATGCACATGATTTCTTTCCTTGCTTTCCGTTACGATGAGTGCTCCTTTGGCTCCTCTACGTGAACGCAAGAGCTGCGAATCTCCTGTTGGCTAGTCACGAAAAAACGTGAACGCAGGGATGCCCTCTTAATGCGCTTGTTAGAAGTTTAAACAGTAAAAGTTTCGGAATTTTTTCATAATAGCAGTCGTATTTTTGCGATAGTCATTTTGTTTTTCATGTTAATCAGGAACGACTGGCTTGAAGTCGGTATCGTCTGATGTCGCATAAACAGTGTTGAAGGAAACTGGCGAAATTGTTGTTGTATCTTGTTTAAAATATATTACTGCAAAAATGTTGACCAATTTCTGACTGGTATTTTTTCGCTCAAAATATCACAACTGTTAGGTTGGAATAAAATGAATTCAAGCCTGTATTAAAAACTGGGCCCTTCTGATAGCAACAATAAATAGTTTAGGTACTAACAATAAGAGAGAAAAAGCCCAGTATCTTTAGGCGGTTTCAGCTTCCGCTGTTGTCATTTAGCAGACATCTAAAAAACTATGTATGGAACAAAACAATGGTATGATTTGGCTTAATGTAAGGATCCGGAGGTCGAGACAACTTGAACACCGTTAAATAAATAAGTGAACAGATGGTCCCTAAAGATACTCCCTTTTCATTTCTTCAGCATCACAAACAATCTAGAGACAATATAAATAGACCAAATTTACCAGAACTTCATAGTAAGAAAAGTTATGTGGGCAGCCCGACACTGCGAAGGAATGCGAGCACATATACAATTGTGGAAATTAAGTAATTAAAATACCCGTCCTTTAAAAATTCTCGCATTAAATCTTTTGCAAATATGATGAGGGCTATTTTAAAAAAGATTTGAGGAAGGATATGATACCTTATTATCAAACTGATAGCACTTTGATCAAATGTTCTTTAGCGGAACAGGGTGGGAGATGCTATAATTTGGCATGAAGTATTTCATTTCATCTTTACTGCATCATCTGCTTACGTAATTTGTTGGGTGTTTCATTCTCGGTTTTGATAAAGAGGCCATATAAGTGTCGCGCCATTTAAGCTCAGCCAGGTGGGTTGGTCTTCAGGTCATGCCATTAAACCCAATTCCTTCTTTATGCCAACAATACTTATTTTACTAGAAAATTGTGTCTTTATCACTTTTAGAAAAGTGTGAAGGAGCTACATTGGTGACAGCGGATTGCAAACTCGATCTTAAAGGACATCTATCCCGATTTCTACTGCTGGGTGATAAACCTTGCTGGGATGGAAGAAGTGCATACACTGTAGAAGGGAAATTGGTGACGACCCTTTGGCAGAGGGGCCAAAAATGACTTCTACCTCCGGTAACCACACCAGTCCAGCGGTCTGTAGGCAAAGCATAAACAACAGAGGCGACAATAATAGTGAACCGTCGGGAAAGGTTCCTTACGGAACTGCCTATAGTTCCTATATCAGTTGTTTGAATCTAGTAGCTGGATACAATCGAAATAGTTATGGCTGGGCAGCTCTAAAGTAAAAAACAAAGTATCAAGGAGTAATAGAAGCGAGATCCTACCCCCACAGAACTATATTCGCTTCCGTTCTTTGTTATTTGACTGTGGTAATAGGTCCGTGTTCCCACTACTAGCGGTGGATGTGCATGATGGCCAGCACATACCCCGTCCCTGCATCCAATTTCGATAGAGGACGAAACTTTAGACCCAGCAGAATTGTTAAGATGGATCAGTGATGTTGTGGTCGGGCATCTTCCCAGATGCATGAAAATTCGATGATTGGTACAGTTGGCTTGTGGGCTCTTCCTTACAGCACTGATTACGTTCTGACGGAGGTTGACCAAGGGACTCGCCAGGAACGACGCACAAAAGTACAAAGGGACTATATAATACGTTTGATGTTTATTTAACTATTGGTTTTGGTAAAGGGGCTAGTGAGGGACTCCGCCATTGCAACTTCGCCGGGTGGGCTGGTCTGCGGTTCATGCCAGTGGCCTCAAGCCCTACTAATGTCGAATGCATAAATTCTACCCCAGGATTATGTCTTCTTTGGTCTTTAGGAAAGTCTGGAGACGCTACACTTAAATGAGATAATTAGCAGCTTGGTCTGCAACGCGTACAAAACACTTTTAAATACCCACGTAAATTTCTAGACCCACCTTAAATTGCTAAAGAATAAACCCTGTAATGCCTTAGAATTTTTTGTAATGTTCAAGCAAAAGTTGTTACCCAGGCCTCTTACATTAGGACGAGAACAGCATAATTTAGCGTATGTATGCGAAGACAGTTTCATTACTACTCCAGATTGCAGAGTAATTCACAACTTAAAGAATTCCAATGTATTTAATTCACATAATGGACGTTCATGTTAATTCCATTACTTTTAATTAAAACCTTTAAATTGCAAATAAACATTTATGCCATGTTTTCATTAAAGTAAACGGTCATTTAATATTGCTGTAGAAAAATGGACTGAGGTGATACCACACACAAGAGTGTTCAGACCCGAAATGATCACTTCTGTTTCCCGTTTTAGAAACTGCAACTCAAGCAAGACATTTGAACATATCAGAGGGCACAATTTGTCCAATCAGTGGAGTCTCAGGTAAATAAAACCCTCTAATTTGGATGGCTGACGGCCTGGCTTAGAGCTGTGCAAGTGTTAGCGTTGCAGGTGCTTTCGAGTCCAGTTAGCCAAAACCAGTTGCCAATATTTTCCCACTATGTCAAATGGACTTTCAAAAAAACTCACTAGAAGATAGATATGACTTGCTTTCTTTTGGGAAAAAGCGGTAATGCGCTCAAGTATGCGTGCAATTTTCGCAAATTACAACAAATTTTATGATTTTCGAGGGTTATTGCAAATGTCAAAAATTGCGCTTATATCGATACTCTTTCCTGTCTGTCGTATACATGGCCCATCTGTACCAGAATTTTCGGATGTCGAGTTTGGAACCTCATCTACTTGGAAAAACTGTCAAAACAATTGCAGTAGATGTATTTTACTATCCAAATAGATGTAAAGGTTGGGCATTTAAATGTCCCAAATTTGCGCGCAGCTGTTTTACTTATTTACAAATGACAACATAACGCGTTCTTTTAAAGCAAATGGGCGAAAATTGCAAAACATAGTTTGTAGAACAACTATAGCGACGATTTCGGGAATAAAATGTTAATGAATGAATAGGAAATATAAATTTTAACAGTGAAAATAGGCGCAAACAATTCAGAAGACCACTAATCCTCAACGATAGAACCGAGTGTATTTGTGGTGACATGAGACATTTCTGCTTGATAGGCGTTTTGACAGACTTGTAAAAGTTGTGGGCACAACCGAAGTATCGCGTATTGCAACAAGCTAGAGCGTGTTAGACCACTTGGGCGGGGACCGTGACATTCTGATACGTTTGTGCACGGCAAAGAGTGGGTTTCGTGCCGCGAAAACGTCACGAGCAAAACAACAACGCCACACAAGGCATACACATAGTGCTAATTTTGTGTTCTTATGGCAACAGTCTGTAATAGTAATTGGCATAACGCGATTGAGTTGTCGCAAGAAAGCAGTCTTACTAATCTCTGGGGTGTTACTGGTATGCTACTGCCTTAGTGACTAAGATAGGAAGACAGGACAATTGTGCAGCATGGTTAAACACGTTATTAAAATAGTAGTATTGTTAATGGTTTGGACAACTTGTTTCTATGAGGGATTTGCCAGCAGAGATAAACAACATTTACTGAATATGTTTAGTTGAGATAGCTGTTATAGTGATAATAAACAGGATGGTATAGAAATGTTAAGTTTAAGAATAAATAGATTACCGGATGCCTTACCAAATCAACACAAAAAGCACAATTTTTGAAACAAGGAATAGGCCAGGTTTTAGCCAAGTAGGGAAGCATACTAGAAATTTCTAAGTAAAAGTTGATTATCTAAGGACGCAACTAATGTGTCGCCCTACCGTCTAGCGGTATTTCGTATAATTCTGTCATCATGGAAAATAATTAACTGTGCGTTTGAAAAAGTTTGGATTAAAATTGAGGAATTCTGCTGGCAATTTTAGTGCGTAAGGGGATAAAGCTCAACGGATGACATGTTCCACTTACAAATACGCACAATAGTCTGTCGACTGAATCAACATAATAGATCCACAGAAAGGCTAAAAATGCTTTTTTTTAATGAGGTGACATAAGCAGTGTCACAGCATCGTTGGATTACACTTTTTGAGGCGGGTTTCCTTGAGGTATTAGGGACGTAGTACATTGCAAAGCAATGCACCATGACAGGAGTGTTCAACTTTTCAAACAAATTGAAAAAGCAACTGCAGAGCCACTTTAAAGCATATTCGCAATGTTCCTAATTAGGAACACTAATCCAAGCTATTAAAAAATTCACAATGATTCCAAGAATCGGAAAAAATATCATACAAAGACTCCCCTCAGGTGTCAAATATATTCTAGTTTTGTTTGCGCTTTGAGTAAATGGTCCAAATTAGCTAGTCTGAAGGGTTCGCAACTTCACAGAACATGAATAATGCAATGGAAAGCTAAACTCTTTGCATCCCGCACGGTTACTCTCGAGTTACACTTTCTTTTGGCTTATTCAAACCACAAAAAGTAGAATAGACTTAGCCAAGCAACTAGAATAAAAATAGTCCTCTACAAAGTAGGCTCAGGTAAATCCATTCACGAATCTTTCTAGAATAAGCAACATTTTAGGGTCAAAATATTGGTAATATTTGTGGCATTAAGTGGGATAAACTTCTCTTAAAACAGACCAAACTGATGTGCGGAGGTACCAAAATAGGTAAGGCCTTAGCACAAACCTAATCAGAGCATTGTATGCAACTTGCTTGTGCTGACAGGGGAAAACCCTGTTGCCATTCCGACAAAAGACAGCTACTTGTATTCGTGACTCTTTTGGCAAGACTAAACACAGCTTCAAACTGCTCAAACAAAGCGTCTCAAATGTCACGGATTTTCATAAACGAAAAATCCCTTTTCGAAATGCTAATGAGGGCACATTTCAGTACATAACTTTATACCAAAAATGCGAAAAAGGTAATGCGGTGGTTAATCGCTAAAGGACCTCTGTATTTTAAAGCGGCCGCCTTGAGAAGAAATAAGATATTTTAGCCATGAAGCATCCAACTTACAATGCCTATTTCTACGGAAACGCGAAATCCTTCGTTCGTGTAAATCTACTTAAAGTGCATTTAAATTCAGAAATGCAACTCACCCGATGAGAAAGGTCTAACGCAATTGAACCGACATACGTGCAGATGTCTCGGTGTCGTTTCGATACGGGCGTCCTACGTTAAAGGTACATTATGCATGTGTTTGCATAAAAACAGATGAGATCTACCGGTCCATTATGAAAATTGCAGATAAAAAGTAAGCGAATTGCACTTTGCTTTGCGCTTGAGCGTAGCTCCAAAAATTGTTTCCGTAATTTATTCAAGGTGGCAGAAGCCAAGTAGATCAAAGGACATTGACATTGACGTAACAATGATCTATTCCCAAAAATCTACTTTCTTTGAAATGCTGAATACATATTGCAACCTTAGAAAAAGTTTTATTTATTAGATAATTAAAACAGGTAGCAATTTTGTAGGGCTGACTTGAGAATTTCACTCATTTGAACCAGTATTATGGGGGGTGGCTATTTAGAAATCATAACGAAAAATGAAACAGATTTGTGCAATTATTTGACCTTTGCAATTCCTCAACTACCCCAATGATTCAATAAATCCAGCTTGCCTAATCCAAATACAAAAAAGTGATCTTTTAATGGGCATTGAAGATACAAAGGCTTTTTGATTCACGAGGGGCAAGTATTGCATGCAAATGTCTGTACAAAAGTTAAAATAAAGTCTATTTGGAAAACGGCCTAGCGTTTCTTTATTAAGTTTAAAAAACTTAATGAGCGAATTCAAGTTTTGCCTGGTGCTAAGAATCCAGTTAAAAGTATATAGTTACAAAATAGCAGAAGCTACCTCTTCTTTAACATATAAATTGAGTCTCGCCTCATCTTCCCTGCAAACACAGTAAAACGGTTTCCATTCCGGTTTGGGAAGTCGGGTCCCACCATTGTTGGCGCAACTACAGCCAAGTCCTCTTTCAGGCAATGCTAAAGCATTAACGATTGAATGGCATTTTAGGTTCTGATGTACGCAATAACAAAAAGAGGAAATAAGTTGCTTCTCCTCTCAAGCATACATAACTAAGATCCATACGAAATAAAAAATCACAATGATGAATGCAGATCCTATCAGTGGCCAATGCACATATCATAAAGAAAACAAAATTTTGCAGACGACTCTTGAGAGCCTTTAAATTTCAACCATAATGCGAGGCAAAGTAACTGAGAAGTAAAGTAAAAGCGGCAAAATTTCATGAATATTTAAACTAGTTGTTGGCAATGCTAATAGCCTTACTGGGGTTTTACTAAAAATCTGGCAAATCTCAAGGCATGTTTCGTGATTTTACTTCAGCCTTCTCTGTTTTAATGTAATGCAATGTAGTTGGCAGAAAACTTTATTTTAAAATGAAAAGCTCGTTATAAGATAAGAGGTACCGATAGAATAAGAACGAAGATATTTTAAGCAGTAATCAATTTGCTAGGCTGCAGAAATGTTTAACCAAAAGTGGGGGCGTAAATACTATGAAGTAAATCTTTTACAACCATTAATAACTAGCTTCTCTGTATAAATAAAAAGGCGTTGCAGAAACAACTAGGTTTTATGTAACAAGAAATGTATGATGAGATGTTCATTTTTAGTAAATGCGGCCTAAGAAATCAAAAAAAGTGCACTACGAGCAAGTGCAGATGAATGTGAGAACATGACCAGCAAGTATGTTAGACATACATAAAGGACGTGTGGAACACGGCAAAAGATAAAGATTTAACGTACTTATGCTCAACGGATACTTAACTTAAGCAAGGTTTTTCACAGAAACTGGTATCCAAAACAAAAAGAAAAAATAGCCCACGCAAATATTGCAATTACACGCTTCAATTACTGCAGGTTGGTAAATATGAACAAGAAGAATAGAACCGCATTTTAATGGCAAATACTTTTCGTTTAAAAAGGTTTAAATTTTTCATAACATCTCTTACCCCATACCAAAAGCCAAGACTCTACGCGGCAGGGAAATTGGGACAATTCAGCCATGTTATCGCCAAAAAATCATCTCGATTACACGAATATGCATAACCGCGTATTTGGCGTTTTCAAACGGTCTAATATTATCCACTCATCTAAACAAAACAAAAATTACGCGAATAGCAATAAACTTGATTCCTTTCTTTATTTTCGACATGTAACTGCAGACAGTTAGCTTTGCAAAATAAAATCCTCAAACCCTCTTAAAAAATGCTATTTGACTAATTCATTTAAACGTTGCATTATCGTATTTAAGTAATTATTATAAAACGCTGATTTTCTAGACTGCACCTCATTTTTAAGAGCAAATTTTCTGTCGTAAGCTTAGCGCTCCCAATGATTGCCTCTAAAAGCGAAAACTATTGGACCCACAGCCTGTTTTTATTTGTATTATTTATAGCTTGCCGTTTTTCCTTTCAACTTTGCATCATCCGTTAGAGCAGTTGAATTTAATTATCAGTTATTAGCAGCAACAACTTATTTTAAGTTAAGGTTTGGGACTGAGGTTTTGATACCTAAAAGAGATATGGGTTTGGCTCTTTTTTATTTCAAACGAAGGATTGCATGGTATAGGGCTCGAGATAGTATTTTGACGAGGCTTGTTCCTCGTACTCTTGGAACACCTAGGTTGAAGTTATTTTAGCATATTTATTGGGGCAATTAAAACGGGGAATACTGGCACAGATTTCAGGGGGCGTTGACAGTAAGCGCTCTCAGGCTTGCAGGTCGTCGACTCTTCTGTCACAAGGTTCGATTCTTATCCCAGTCTCCTCTCTGAGAATAACATTAAAACAACATAAGTATTACAGTATGGCATCACTTCTTTAAAATGATTTTACCGGGAAGTGGTTTTCAAGGAAGTAAGTTCTTGTCTTGCACTACTATTTTTTGGCAAAACCCTTTCCTATGTTACAGATATTTTGGCCAATGCAGACTTGTCTTTTGACTCGACTTAATGAACACTTTTTTGCACGCTCATTTTGAATTTGCAAAGATTGATACATTTTCCTGTCTGTTAGGAGCCCACTGTCATAACTGGTTGATAGCAAAATGCTAGTTATTACAAATTATGTGCATTTGGAACACTGCACTTCTGCTTGCGACCCAGATATTGGGTTGTTAATTACTGCTGAAGTGTGTGCAGTAGACATGTTGATATCATTTATCGCATATGATTGTCTTAACTGATCATGTCTGTAACGATTTCTCTCAACCACAGAAAACAACATTATCACTGGTGTTTCCGTCGGTTCATATACACTTATGTCGTGGTAAAACTCGTGCGTGAGAAATTTTAGGCATCACCGTTCACTAAAACAAGTCGAAGTGAAAAATAATCCAACAAAGGGAATTTTATTGTATTTACTGAGCTTGCATTCCCAAATGCTTATGACCGCAATTTGTAAGTAATGGCGGGGGCTTTAGCTAGCTACATACCTTCGAATTTTCTAAAGTTCCCTTGATATCAACAGTAGGAGGAGGCTCGTAGATCTCCTCTTCCCTGGTCCCTATACTCCTAAAACACCCAACTTGATTTGGTTTCGACATGTTTATTAGGATAAGTAAATGGGGGAAGCAGGAACAGAGTTTAGGTGGGTGTAAACACGGAAGCGCTCTCGGGATCTTAGAACGTTTACGCCTCAGTCAAGAAGTTTGACTTGTCTACCCGCCTCCTCTCTCAAAGGCCCATTAAAACAGCACAAGTATTACATAACACTATAAAGAATCGCAAGAATCGTTGAACTCATCAAGTAATCGTGATGTTAGTACACTTTTAATGAAGGAGCGACGCTTAATTTTTGAGAATGTGAAACAGTTTGAATTCGAATTTTGTTACCAAGTGTCTTACGCCAATTGGTGTCAGATAAGCATTATAGCGGCACGATACTTAGTTTAGCCGTGTGTTGAACCACACGGGAAGTTCAATTTTCACAGGTTTCACTTCCACTGTGCTGCGTGGACTTTGGTCATACCAATGGCCTCCAAAATATTTTGTACTCTAGTAGTATAGGTCCTGTCATACTACTTTGGCTTATTACAACTTGGGAGTGGCTCGGGACCGCAGTATAAAGCATCTTTACTTGAGCAGTAAAAACATACTTGATGCTGAAATTATATCTGAAAGTACGCCTAGAATAAACACATTAGGAAGACGTTGAAGAGATTAGACGCTGTTCTAGATTTTTAACATTACCAAAGAAAGTCACTTCTGAGCAAAGTAAGTATTGTACTTTTAAACTGAGCTTTGTACTCCCATGCTGCGGCAAAATTATACATGCTTCAGAATCGTTTGGTGGCAGATGCGCTTCTCAAAATCCTCTTAATACATTTATTTTGGCTGTACTATTTAGACGTGATAGTCAGAAACTGGTAGATAGCACCTTGAAGAGTAGTTAATACTCTTGAAATATCCTTTAAATAACACATCGGTTAGCAGTGCATACAGGTTTCACACACTTTTAACAACTCTTTATCCAAAAAAAAACATGAGAATGAAAAATTTAACACTTGAACAATAGAAAACCTTGAATTTACTCACATTCGCTTAGGTTTGTAATCAGACCTACTTAAGGATGGTGAGGTCAATTGAATACATTACATTACATGCTATGTGATAGTGGTTCACCCAATTAGTGGTGTTTCTTTTGGATAACTACAAAGTCATAGAGAACAAAAGTCTGCTCTGATAATTAACATAGCAGCGCTTCTACGATTGGGTGAGTCTGAAACATGTTTTTCGACCAATCAGTAGTGTCATATCC